AATGGCATTATAATAGCAAGTAACTCTGACCAACTGACCACAGAGGTTCAAAAAGAGCTGAGCCTTTCAAAGAAAGAAACACTCTATTGACTTCTTTCTTCTTTTTTATCTGTTTGATTATATGTGTCATATAAATCTAGAGGTACAGGGCTGTCTCCATTTTAGGATTCCAAAGCAATGAAACCAGTGGTGGCTCATGGCTGTTGTGTGGCCTCTGTCTGAATCTTGAACAGGCTTTTTCCAATAAAAGAAAACAGTAATTGCTAATGAACTTAATTTCTAAGGAGAGTTACTAAAATGTAGACTCACAAAATGTAAACTTTAAAAATCTATAAAGGATCCATGCTTTTTTGTCTGCTTTACACTGAAATGGCAGCAGAATTTCTGTTATATAAGCTTAGATAAGCCCAAACTACTCTTTTTGATGGAAAGCTATAACTACACTTAGTGACTAAACTAAGCTACATCCGTGAAAAGGGGGTGTGCATGTGTGTATGTGTATATATCCAGAGGGAGAGACTCATGAGAGGGATAGACCTAAGACAGCATTAGGTTGTTCCGTTTGGGGAGATTATTTATATTGCATTCTGAAAAGTGATGTGACCTTTGTCTCCAGAGGAGGAGGCAGTGAATATGACCAGTATGTGTATTACCGGTAAATCCTTTTCACCACAGATAATGCCTTAGTTTTGAGGCACGTGAGCGAAGTATCCATTTCCGCAGTGCCTGCCTTTGAAAGGTAATGGAGAGACTGAAAGATCAAGAAGGAATGAGCTTAGTGGTAGACATAGCCTTTAATGCAGTCATTTTATGTTAATATTTCACTTTGTGTTATTTCCTATCAGCAAGGTAGTTCCTGATTTATTTTGACGTTTTCTGATCTGTCATGCTGCCTGTTTTTCAGTTTCAAGTTCAGTATTTTGTGAATGGAAGCACCTTATGACCTTTAATGGCCATTTTATTAATATAGAAGTTATTCTCTATAAATTAATTACCTCTGTATCTACATCAGAAGCTTGTTTTTTGCCTCTGAACTATGTAATTGACTGTATATTTGAAAGCTTATTGTAACTGACCGACCATGGTTGTCCTTCTGCTTGCATACATATTAAATATCATCGGGCTGGTTCTTTGTGTTTCAGATTGTTGAGGTTTTGCTTGCACTGATTTGTTTTTCTGTTTATTCTGCCTTCTCTGTTCCTGTCAAAATTTGAGGACAATAGTAAGTGTTTGCAGTTTGCTTGTGCTTCCATTGTAGGACCCTCCTTTTGCCTTAAAACCACTGCTACTTCTTCTGTTTTGTTCTTTGCTTGGGTAAGATTTTGTACCCCGAGACTGCATCTTCATAGGCAAGTACTATGGGTCTGTTGAGCTTACAGGTAGCGTTCTTACAGGTTCTGCTCAGGATCCAACCTTTGCCCCTCTCACCCTGATGTGTCTGTGTATGTTTTTGATGATGTTTTGTTTTGTTCTGTTTTGTTACTTTGGACAAGCTGCAGTCTGTACCTGGAAGCAGAAGGCCCACTTTTTTCTGGAATGCCCGGGGTTCCTTCCTGGAGCACATCTCCCGGTTTGTCTCAACCTGAAAAGAGACCAAACAGCTCGTGCCCACTGCAGAGAACAAGTGAAACCAGTGGGAGCAATGGAGAGGTTCACTTCAAAATCAGACTGCCAAACAAAAGCATTAACACTGGCATTTTTTCTGTCAGTGGAGGTTCCTCCTTACAAAACAGTTTTGGAAGGCAAGAAGAGCCCAGTGGTTCTGGAGAGAAGCTGGCAGGGCTTCTTGAGGTCAGGATGTGCCATGCAGGTAAAAGCAAAATCTGTAGGTCACAGCTGTATCCACCCTCTGTATGAAAAGCCAGGTCGCACTTTTTTGTCAATTCATAAAACCTAGGCCTATATCACATTGTGATTATGGAGGAGAAGCACAGTGGGCTGGGTTTTGTTTCACAGAAATACAAATGAAAACTTCAGGCTAGAGCATCTACAGTTCTGTCCATTCTGGGGGGAACAAGGGTGTAAGGAGATTCTTTTCGTCTAACTTCAAACTATAGTTGAAGGAAGAGACCGCGTAACATTTCATTTTAACTGGTATTTACTAAAATATTTATTTTATTACATGATTTTTCAGTAATATGAGGTCGTAATGTTGTAGGGGTGCCAAGCAAGCAAGGGGGTTTGTCACAGTAAAAATAAAAGCTGAAATGCATTGCACTTGGTTAGTACAAAACAAACAAATACATTCCAAGAATGTTTAGTTCGGACATTTATCTTGAGTAGGTGACAAAAATGCAGACACGTGGCAGTCTCAATGCAAGACAAATGTCCATTTCAAGTCTGTTCTGGAAATTTGTACATTTTGAAGTGGGTGGCATGTTTTCAAAAGAAAAGGAATAAATGCTTCATTGTTTTGAGTCTCGTTAGGCTTTTAATAAACAAAGTAGAGGCTGAGGAAGAATGTTCAAGCAGTTGAAAGCTCTGTAGATTTTAAGTGAGTTGCATTCCAGAAGGCTCTGAAATAACTAGTTTTTCTTTCTTTATGTATTTGTCCTTTATAATCAAATGCATGGTGTGTCTTGGCTTATGTTTGTGCCCCCAGTAACAGGAGCGATTTGTAATACCCAGCACAGCTGTCAGCGTGGAGCAGCGCGTGCCCTGAGCTGTGCTGCGTGCAGGCTGCTCTTCCTGGGTGCACGTGTGTTGGAAGTGTGAATGCTGGGAATCGCAGACCATCAAAAGGGGGGAAAGCCTTTAAAAAGCAGGAGTGTGAATTACTTGGCGGTGTGAACAATGCGGGACGGCAGCGCTCCGGGGTTTCCACAGAACTTGTGCCCAGGCCATGTTGACTTTTACATTCAACAGTTTTTGTCAGCCGTTCTGGGGTGGGGAAAATGCCGCTGTGGCAGTGGTAAAAGAGAAGGCAGAGGGTTGGGCAGATGAGTGCAAGAAGATTTTGGAGGGTTGGTACACCTGGCATGTCATACGGAAGAGAGGATGACATTAATTAAAGTTTCTGATTAGCTAAGGGCTTTGCTTACAACATCGACATTAAAACAACAGCTGACAATGTTGATTATCCTCTACAACAACTGATTTACATTTTAAGAGGCCTTAGCTCATTTGGACTTCGTAGGGACTGCAGCTGTGGTCTCTGTAGTTAAATGAGGAGGATTTGAAACCAGTTTCTGAAGGTACCAGTGCGGTTTGCTTATGTGCTTGGGAAGCCTGGCCCGGAGCGGGTTTCTGCTGTTTCCACTCTGCTTTGGACAGGGCCGAGGCATTGTGGAGCATCTCGTAGATTAGACCATGGGAAAAAATGCAGTGAATTTCCTCTCATTGTAACAAATAAGTTTATTTGCATTCTGTTCTACTGCGCTGGCTTTGAGAATGCCAGCATTTTTTTCTTCTCTTAAAGTGCTATACTACACACAAATGCAATTTGAAGAGAAATCCAGAGGCTGGAGTGACTTAAACTTAATTTGATCAATTATTTGATGTTACTGTACTGGGTGAACTGCTGCGGAAGCATGTACTGCTTTTGCTTACGTTTAGGTAGAGGAGATAGGCTGGGCTGGAGACAATCTTTTCAGATGTTCAACCCTGTGCAGGCTCTTTATTCCTTTTGCTGTTATAGGATGACAGAAATCAGAGGTGATTTCCCTCTCAGTTTATTAATGATGCTCTGAATGCCTAAAGAAAAATGTTTGCAGACGTAGCAGCTGTCTGTAAAAAAAGCCAAATTTAGTAAATCCTGCTAGGAATAATGTGGGATGTTAAACTTTGTATCAGGAGCTGTTGGCCTTTCCCCCTTATACAGGTGTTGTTTTTTTCCTGCTGTTCTCCAGAAGAATGAGGTGGTTGCTTATCCAAAATAAAAATCCTTACAGAGGGAGTGTTTGATTTGATGAGCTGGAAAGGAATTTAACCAAAATAAATAAGTATATTGATAGTTTATTTGAACTGTTTTAACATCTAATGGAGAAGGAAGTGAATGGGATGCTAAGATGAGAATTGTGTGTGTATCAGGATATTCAGGAAGTTTCAGCGGAAACCTGATGGGGAAGTTTGGAAGAATAACTGTATTTTGCTGGCTCCGCTTAGTTTTGAGTAATGAATTGTGAGTCTTTAATAGCTGAGCAAAGAACTGGCATCCTATAAGTGGAGAAGTGTGGCCACCTTGTTGTGCCCTTCTGGAGAGTTTTGAAAAGTAAAAATAGTGCCGGCCAAGTTTGGCCAGCCCTGAGAACCTACTTCAAATTTCTTGTCATTCCTTTCATCTGTAGGCAGGTCCACAGCACAGTCTCTGTGCCCATTTGTTCTGTGTTCTCCCAGCACAAGTACCCCCTAGTTGGAGTTGTAGACTACAAAAACAAGAACAATTTTCAGAGCTTACTGTTAGGATATGTAGCTGTGTCTGTGTTACTCTTTGAAAGAGTAACTTTTAATTTTCATTCAGAGCTTGTGCTGAGTATTTATAAAAGTTGGGATTAAATCATGAAAAAAATTACACATGTAGCAAAGATGGGAGGCCTGAAAATTGAGGCTCTCTAAAGATTTTTTTTTTTTTTAACCAGTTTCCTGCCTGAACATTTAGAGATTATAAGTGAATCACGGTAGTAGTGAAAAGATGTCTAGCACACCCAGGAATTTTGTAGATGAAATAGTCTGTCGAGTGCCACTGGAGGGAGGTTGCAGATTCCTTTTTGTCATAATGCTTGTCTGGGTTAACTGTATAAATCCATTTTATTTGTCTTAAACTGGTTTAAAAATTGTGACTTTTTTTTTCTCACTTGATTTTTTTTCTGATTAAGAGGTGTCTCAGCTGATGAAATTGAAGAATTTATGTTTTCTTAACTGCATTGAGCTTGAAAACGCCCTTGTTTCTGTATTATAATACAGTTGTTTTTCTCTTTCAGAATTTCCCAAACGTGTATGGTCTTGGATTTGAACAAAAGTCTAGAAATCAGATCAACTTTGCGTTTGAGTAAGAAGTGATAATGCAACGAAGACAGGGAAGAGTCAATGCTGGACTGCTTTTGCTGCTTTATCAAATTTCTCAAGTTGGACTTCAGAACATTCCTTCTGTTACCCTTGCAGTGCTTGTACTGAATATTTTTCTCTTTCTGAATCCTGTGAGACCGCTGCATGAAGTATGTATCAGTGTCAACGAAGGCTTCTACAAACAGAATTGGCAGCGCTTACTGCTTTCTCCTGTCCACCATGCAGACGATTGGCATTTGTATTATAACATGATTTCCATGCTCTGGAAGGGGATAATGTTGGAAAGAAAGCTTAAGAGTGTGTGGTTTGCTTATATAATTGCCGTGTTTTCAGTGCTGATTGGAGTTGTTTATATGGCGCTGGAATTCATGCTTGTGAAAATTCTGAATGATCCTTCGTATGAAATGAATTGTGCCGTGGGTTTCTCAGGTAAGTTGGTCCAATGTAAATATGTGAAAATGAAAATTTATAGGTATTAGCAATGTTTTTGAATGTAGCAGATGGACACCTGTCCAGCCGTATGCACGTATGTTATGTCACTGAAGTAATCCTGTCTTATTTAAAGCATGTGCTCTGGGGATGTACACGGTGTGAGTACGTGCTTGTATGATCAGCACAGTCTTTACCCCAAAACATGACAAATATGATGACCTCTGCAAAATCATGGTTCCAACTGGTGTTCAGTGTCACTGACTAGCCGAAGCCTGGAACTTCTCGTTTGCTGATGTTCATGATGCTTGTTAGTAGGCTCTAGAAAAGCCCATTGCTTGACTATTTTTTCTGAGCATCTTTGCTGGTGTGAGCTGTGCACTATAAGTCAGGCCTTTAGCTTCAAATTGTAAACAGTTCATGCCTGTCTTCATTTTTCTGCTAGAAACAATCAAGCAGCTGCTTGTAGTCATCTTCCAGTAATGGTCACATCTTCTTATTTAGGAAGTCAGGGTTTCAAGTTGATGAATTCCTTTAAGAAAGTCTGAAGTGGAGTAGTAGCACTGCTCTCCTAGGTACATAGAGGGTTTTTCCTTGATACCATTGGGACTTAGAAAAGGGGATTTGCCATTTAATTCTATCTCCGAGGAAGGTGTTGATGCTTTTTAGGTTTCCCTGTGGTACTCAGGGCAGCACTAGGCTGAAACATCCTGGTAGTTGCTCATTTGGAGCTTCAGTACTCACTGGTCACCCACCTTTTGGTAACAAGGCAGGCCCGGTTCTAGTACTGGCCTCTGTCATGGCTGTAACGGCCCTGAGCACAACCTCTTCCTCTGTCTAGGGGATCTGGCTGCCTTGCTCAAGGACAGTTTTGATATGGGACACTGCAAGCCATCTCAAGCTGGTGGGAAAAGAGCTGAGAAGCTTTTGCCTGGCAGCTGCTTCTAAGCTTAGACCCTCGGCCTTGTCCCTGGCATAGCGATGCTGCATCCATGCATGTGTCTGGCCGTGTGCCTCGCTGACCTGGACCTCCAGCTGGGTGTCCTGAATTCCTTGGGCCCTGCTTGGCAAAAGGGTCAGCCTGGCAATCTGGGCTCTTGGAGTTTTAAGATGACTGGATTATTTATTTACTTCTTTTGCAGCTGGATGAAATAGGCCAGGCCCTTGTCCCCCTAATAGGAACATGACAATACAGCAGGCATAGGCCCTTCCAATAGGTGCTTAAGCCTTAAATAAAATTAAATGAATTGAAGCTGTGCATAGAGGATTCTGGTGAGTCAAGGGTGAATTGGATAGAGGCAACTCCTGAACTATGTACTGCTATCGAATATTTCTCCCCTTGAGTAAATTTATAGTTTCTGAACCATGTCCAGTTTTATCAGCAGCAAATAGTGTGTGCGTGCGTGCATAAAAGCATTTCTTTTTAAATTTGTTCCTAAAATAAGAATATTTACATCACTGGATAGAGGAGTTTTGCCATTTCATGTTTTCTGTGGTTTTAGAAGGGGGAGAACCTTTTTCATATTTTCTTTATTTAGCGTATCTGAATTCGTGTCCAACTCGGTTATCTTTTCCATATTAAAGTATTTTACTTCTCAATTCTGTGGATTTTTCAGGCAATTGTGTTAGATTTCTCTCCAGAGTAACTTTTTCAAAAAAATGTTGAATGTTCTGATAAATTATGTGAATTAATTCGATCACATCAGCTCTTACTTGCATGATAGAACAGTGGGAGTCAATTGGAAATTGTTGTGTTTAAAGGTGATTTATCTAATTTTTCTTTTCAGAAACAAGTGATCTGGAGCATATGTAAGATTTTTTTCCATTAATTCTGAATTTTTGAGCTTACTGTTGAGCTTCACAAATGCATTTGTCTTGTTTTCAGTCATGGCTTTTCTCAACGCACAGAACAGTTTGAGTTCAATAATTTTGTCCATTATTATAACTAGAACTTTTTGTTTCTATTGTTTTGATTACTTTAATAACTACAGTAAATAGGTGCATTTAAAAAACAAAAACAACTTCAAATTGGCTGTCATATGTAAATTTTTAATACTTTTTTTCTTAAGTGACTGAAAATTATCACTGACAAAACAGCTTAGAGCTGTTGTTCTGGCATGCAACAGTATTGCTTCCTGGTGCTGTGAACCTGCATGGTATTGCAGTTTCAGTAAATAATTCATTTTGGTAGTTAAGTCACTATTCATTTTTTTGGGCACGCATACTTCTCTTTTGATGTGATTTGTTCTTGTTCGCAGGAGTCTTGTTTGCTTTGAAAGTTCTTAACAACCATTACAATCCAGGAAGAGTCAGCAGTGTCCTTGGATTGCAGATATCCAGCAAATACGCCTGTTGGGTGGAGCTGGTGGCTATTCATTTAATTTCCCCAGGGTAAGTGCATTTAATTCTTTGAAGTTAGTAGAAGAGATTTGGGTTTTCTGAAGTAGTTTGAAATGTTTTATGAAGTAAGAGTAGTTATCTGATACCCAAATTGTGCACTGGGGCTACACTATGCTTTTTTCTGTAACACCTTTTGACCATGTTTCAAAATGAGAAACTGTAGTACCGTGTTTGGAAGGTATTGTGAACTATTGGAGGGAAGATATGAAAAGTTGATGGTCAAGGAAAGGCACGTGCACATTCAGTAAAATAACCTAACCATGGGATACGTGACTATTTCTGAATAATCTATATTGACAGTGTTGATCTGAGCTAGTTTTACAGGTTGTTTTTGGCAACTTAAGATGTTCAAAAAACTAGGTGACCTAGCAAACTGAGAACTACCCGACTACCCCAGTTAAAGACCAATAGCACAGGGGCAAGTCTTCATCCTGCGAACTGAGATGCAGATCTCTGTCACAAACATTCATGGCTGACAATTGAAATCAGTTGTAACGCATTATGAATCAGCAGTGAATATTAGTTGCTTAATTTGTATGGGTTCAAGGATCCAAAAGAGCTCAGTCTCAAAGCAAATCACAGTCAAAAGAGGTAAACATAATAGGAATAATGAGCTTTGCATTAAAAACCAAAACATCTATGTATATTTGAAAGTAGAGGAACATTCTGAAAAATCTGGTTTTGAATTCTGCTTTTTTTATTTCACTTGTATACCTCTCAGCTTTACCCCTGGTGTGGCCTCTCTTGTCAGTAAAAATATCTTGCATTGCTCTGACATTTTTAACCTCATGAAATCTTCTCAATGTATTTATTTTCCTGTTTAGTCTGCCTTTTTAATTGCTTGTTTAATGCCTAAGGATATCACTGAGTCTTCACCGGTTATCAGTTAGATTTACTGTTGAACTTTTTTATTGATGAGAACTGTTCCTCTGGAATAAGAGGGCTTACAAAAAAAAGAGGGTTTGGTGGGAATGGCATTATATGGTGAAAACCATTTTCTGTTGTTCTGGTTTGTCAAACAGCTTTTACTTTCCTATATTATGTTCCCAATTTATTACAAAATTAGTAACAAATTCCCAACTTCCAGTTAAAGAAGCAGCAGTGTTTTCCTGTACACGGTTGTGTAAAACAAGTTGTCTTATACTTATGCAATCATTTAATTTGGTTTAATTTGCATTCAGATAGGTTGCTTAGCACTGGTAAATTGACTACATGCCCTTCTTTCTAAGCAAGATTAAATTTAGAAACAGAGGCAATAAATTGTAATGTGCATGTGACTATGTGGTTGAGTTAATATGGAAATGAATTGTGTGTATAAACACATGGATTTCATCCTATTGTTTCAAGAAATTCATTATTTTTCAAAGATAAAGCCAGCCTAGATTCTTGTAGTATGTCACTTACCTTACTTGTTTATTTGTTTAGTGATTATATGCCTCCTAGCAGAGCATCAGTGGAGGAGATGATGGAAGTAAGTTCTTGTCATGGAAGACTGTGACAGTGGCTAAACTAACGACAAACTTTTGTTGCTAAATAAATGGCTTTGTCCTGTGATAGACTAGGGTACTTAAATGGTGATTCCTACCAGCCTTTTGGGTTTGTTGTTAGGTGGAAATTGGAGAAATGAAGTAATACAGGTGTAGGTTTTTGTTCTCTGCTTTCATGTGTGCTGCTGGGTGCCTGTCACCACAGAATTGAAATAAGTCAGGAAAAATGCAGTAGCAGCAAGGAGTTGATTTGAATTCAGTATAAGAATACTGGAACATTATTCATATAAAAATAATACCGCGAGATGCTTGTAAACATCTGATCAGAATAAGATAGATGAAGCGTAAATCTTGTTCAAATGGCTTTCCTGTAATGATAGCAATTTTCATGGAAACTACACAGTCAAATGAAAAGTCTAGTTAATTCTGTTTAGAAGATTTTGTTCAAGTAATGTGCGCATCAGCTTGATGGCAGATTTCTTCAGGAAACGGTATTTAGACATATTGCATAATTATCATTGGTATGAAGTGAATGGTTGAAATAAGATCTCTGGGGAGATCTACATTTTCAAACAAAAATTAGATGAGACATCATTTGAATTTCTTTATACCAGAGAGAACATTATTTAATATTGATAAAGCTCATTGACATTTCGGAAAAAAGCATGCAATTTAAAAAGTCAAGAATCCTGTTTTTATTCCCACTCAAAGTTCAGTTTGCATTATACAAACTATAAGTTATACCATAAGCAATAATTCTGTCAGTTTTTCAGCAGGAGAAAAGGCAGTAGTTTATCTTGTTGCAATCAGAAGAACATTTATTAGTCCAACAGTCTAATAACAGTCAACTTAGAAAAATATACATTCAAGTCAAGATATTGTTATTATTACAAATAATGTAAAAATACTATTTTGGAATTTGATAATGGAAGTTGCTCTATGGCTTCTAGGGTTTTTAACTGTATACAGGATTATTTCACAATATACAAAAAGCAGAAAATAGAAGTAACCTCAATTTTCTGGATTAGATTTGAGTGGAGTTTATCATACAAGTGAAAGGAGCCTTAGTAATGTGATTGGACAAGAGTTTCACACAACTTTTGTGCTGTTCTATAAACTATATTTGTTCACTTCAGCTAAAATGACATTTAATTTGAAAACTTGTATGTTGTCCTGCTTTGTAGAAACAGTTGTAGTTTTGCTCTTAGCTTTAATGTCAGCAGATAAAACTCATACAGCCTCGTAGGCCAGAAATCCATTATGCAAATTTTTTGAAAAGCCAGTCTACTGGAAATTAAAATTCACTGTAAAATGTCAAGAAGGTTGACATTGACACTGAAGTATTATCAGGAATTAATGGTTCAATTATATTTGAGTTCATTGGAAACAGGAATATCCACTTTGGGTAAGGCATGCGGTTAGAAGAACATTAATCGCATGTGTGAAAGTTATTTTATCCAGTTTACTTATATTGAATAATTCCAGTCTACATATTTTCATTAAATAAGAAACATTATAGGGGATCTGAATGAATCTGATATCAGAATGAATGCTTTGAGCAATAACTGCGAAAGGACAAGCATATATCTCTATACACACATACTTCTATAACCATAAATGTTAATACTCATCAGCATTTAGTATAATGTGCTTCCCAAGATCACCACTATACCAAACAGATCTTTGCAGGGGCTTAGCAGCCTCACATTTTCCCTCGCTAAGCCTGGGCAGGTGGGCCCGAACCCAGCAGGGTTTGGGAGGCCTCTGCCCCTCTGGGTGCGGGGACCAGTCCCTCCAGGCTCTGCCGCTCCGGTGTCCTCAAGCCTCTTGCTGCAACGTGTTTGTTACCATTTACTCTATGGGTTGGGAAGGTGCAGAGTTTGTTCATTCCTATTTCTGGCTCTTTTGCATTATTTAAATATGTTGTATCCATGAGAGGTTTAGTCAATGGGCTAAGTAATAGTGGTTCCTTCAGTCTTTGCCCAGAAGCCGTAGGCTCCTTGGTTCTGTTGCGTTTGGCTTAATTTTCCAGCTGAGACCTACCACTGTTGAATAGAGTGGAAAGTTTTACTTCATTTTGCTTTCAGGCAGCACTCCTGTCTGTGTGTTCACAGTGAAATCCTTGTTTCCTGTAGCGGTGTGGCCTGCTGAGCCCTGCTTTGTTGTGTGGCTCGCTGCATGTGCCGGCTGCTCTCCTGCAGTCCCCTCCAGCCTGCTCGGATAGCTGATTCCTGTGACGTGTTCAGAACTTCATGCCTGTCTTTGAATTACATCCTAATGCTTTGTCACTGTGTCAAGGTTGCTTTAAATTATAATGCCATCTCCTGTCACTCGTGTAGCTTCTCTCAGCTTGTTGTCATTTGCAAGCAATACTTGGTATAGACTCTTGTGGAAATCCACTTGGTTCATATCCTTAGTTTGATAATGAATCACTGATAAGCATTAAGCCAGGCTTTTTGGCCAGATATGTATCTGCTTAGTGTAGTCTTACTGCTCAAAGTGTATGAGAAACCCTCCTCGAGAGAAATGCCATAAGACAGTGTTTCACTTACAGCCTGGCGTCCGATGTTTCTCCCTTCCTTGGGAGCCTTGGTGCCCTGTCAAAGGAGGGAATGGGGGGGATTTGACTGACTTATTCGTGACATAGCTGTTTTCTGCTTTTCATGTTACTTACTTGAGTATAGAAATACCCTTCCAGTCTTCCAAAACCTAACCTATCCTCAAAATATCTGCAAAAGACAGTCTGACTACTTCAGAATTTAGCTGTATGGTTAACTGTTATTTCATTTGTTTGCATAGAGTGGCTTGTGTTGCGAAGCGACCTTAAAGATCACCTGGAGCCAACCCCTGTGCCCATGGCCCACCAGCCCAGGCTGCCCCCAGCCCCATCCAGCCTGGCCTTGGGCACCTCCAGGGATGGGGCACCCGCAGCTCCTCTGGGCAACCTGTGCCAGTGCCTCACCACCCTCTGAGTGAAGAGTTTCCTCCTAACATCTAATCTAAATCTCCCCTCTTTTAGTTTAAAACCATTCCCATTGTCCTATCACTTTCTATTATGAGCTTTTAATAAAAATTTAAAAAAATAAAAAAAAAATGTCTATCATGAGCTTGAAGTTTTTAATAGAAAAACTGGTTTTCTTTGTAAAATTGCATAGTGTCTGTGTTTTTTAGTTGTTACATTTAGGAAATGCCTATACAGATCTTTTCCATACTATAGATTACACATTAGAAAACAAAACAAAAAAAATATTAAGTCATCATTAGAGTAAATTAGAATATAATATGTTCTGAGATATTGTTGTAAGAAGTGATGTTTGCTTAACGTGGATGAACCATTAAGCATTTCCCTAATATAAGGGTTTCTGTCTTTATGGTACATAATTGCTTTTCCTAACTAATTACAAGTCGTGTATTTGTGTTTGCCACACAAATTGTACGACAAGATATATGAAGGTTTGGTTTACCAAATATACTTATTTTGTGATTTCAGTGGTAGCGTGTATGTGTGACAGTGTACCTGATATCATGTTTGCTTTAGGACAAGCTGTTTAAACATCTTCATTATTAGTGCATTCTCCTTGAATATAATAAAACAAGTATTAGGTTAGTGTACTAGGTGCCTACACACTGTTCAGTAGACATGAAGTGGAATTTATCCCCCGAAAGACTTTTGAAAGTTGAAGGTTTCTGATTGTACATATTGTATGAATACGCAGCTTCACTGTGTTGCAAGCAAAGGCTTCGATTTTGGACTTCGTGGAACAGTGTTGTGCTTAGATAAGCATAAAATTTGTTTAAAACACTGCCAGTAATATAGGTGAATCGATTGCATGTTGGTAATTTCTGGTGTAAGGCATCTTGAAGTATGTAACGTTTTTTGCATACAGGCATTCTCCACATCAGGGATATATGTGTGCTAATTTGGAAAATCTGTTCCAGAAAAAATTGTTTGGAAAATAAGTTCGTTTATAAATCCCTAATTTTGCTAACTACCTCTTACCTATACATTTTTACAGCAACATTTATGCTACTTGGGAGAGTTGCAACTCTGTGTAGCAGAACTCAAGTTTGTGGTTTAGTAGGTGGCAAAGGAGTGAATTTAAATCTGATCTTTATCTCCCTCTAGTGACACATGCTTTCTCTCACTTCTACTAGTGGTGTCTGGAAGTTTTACCATCATGAGTGCATATGGTATCATTACGATATCTGTTTTGGATTTTTGACCAGAATGTAAAATGTATGTTTAAATCTATTTTTACTTCAGACAGAAGTTCCTTTTCTGCTTTATAAAGGGAAAGGGGGGGAAAAAAAGATACAGTGGTATTTGTTGTTTGGACAGCCACTATAAATATAGTGGGCTGATTTATTTATAATCGTGTATTTCAGGAATGTTTTCTCTTAAAAAAAGTGGCTTCAGCAAATTCAAAACAGATATGTTATGAATTTTTCACTAAACTCCTAATTTGAGTGCTGAAAATTAGTTTATGAATTTATTAAATCACAATATTTGATACTTGATACTTGGTGATACTTGGAGCAAATTTCCTCATTTATCCTGCATTTATGCTTCCATGTTGGTGATTTCTCAAGATTTTTCATTCATTTTTCAAGTCTTTTCATTCCATATAAAAATAGGCAGTGATAAGTTTTTAAAAGCAATTGTTGATACATCTAGAAAAAAAAATTGGGTTTCAGTATTTCACTGATTGTTCTTTTACTTTTGAAAGCACTGTTTTACAAACATGTTGCAACGGGTATGCAGTTATGGTTAAGATAAACTCACGGTGGGGTTGTATTGATAGTACAGTAGTAAAGTACTGTATTCATGCTTTCACTTGAAATAGTTTTGGTAGATCCTACCAGGACATTTTGGTGCAATTCTGTGGATTTAAGTTCCATGTGAATTAAAACTAGTTTACTACCTCAATAAGACTTAAGTTTAAGTGCTTTTAGGGAACCAATATTCTATCTGCTAAACAAGCAACTCAAGGGATCTCTCCAATTAGCTTCTGTCTTTGTCAGGATATTTGTTACATGCTTTTCTTTAACTGTATATACCCACCACTTCTAGGGTATTCATGAAGAAAGAAAACTTGGCACTTTCATTCAAATTAATGTTGCTTAGTTCAAATTGATTGTGTAGGATACTTCTATAAATCATGAAATGAGGAAAATAAATAACTCTTGTAAGGAGCACTGTATTAAACTACATGATTAACTTTATAGCTCAGTCTTTAATTTGTTGTGGCCACACTTCTCAGGCACAGCTGGGAGTGAGGTTTGCTTGGAGCTTTTCCTCAAAATGAATAAGGTTTAAAAAATTTTTTTTGCAAACCACACATGTGGGTTTAATCAGTAGTTAACACTAATAACTAATATTAGAAATCGAACTTAGTAGGTCAGAGCAGAAATTAATACATGTTTGTATTGTCCTGGGTCTTTGCAGACAAGTCACTCTTCCATGCTTAGTTACTCAGGGACTTCCTGGGTTACAGCAAACTTTGCACTTCCCCTAAATGATTCCTACCGAACAAAAAAATCTTTCTTTCCATCACTCACAAGATTATTATTATCATTTTTTTTAGGACTTCTTTTGCTGGGCATCTGGCAGGGATTCTTGTTGGACTGATGTACACCATGGGACCTCTGAAAAAGATCATGAAAGCCTGTGCAGGTATATAATTCGGTTTGGTTTGTAAAATCTGCATGAGCCACTTTTAGTCTTAAAATTCAGTAAACCTTATATATTTGCAGACATGGAGGCAATTCCAGCAGTTTTTAGGGGATTAAAGATACACTGATAAACTGAATGCAGAAGCACTTTGTCTTTACTTGTTCTTACCTGTGTTAAAGGTGCCTTTCAGGTGTCATGTTTTTAAAATACACATTTAAAGTAAAATCTTTCATGTAAGATGCCAATGGAAATGTCATTTTAAATGGAGTTGTGAAGCTGTAGATGTTTGTCAGAACACAGTGTGTTTCTATGGCGGGTTTCTGTTGCTTACATCCATTCATGTGGAAGCTGCTAAATTTCAAAAAAAGATTGTGGGATGCTTGAGAAATTGTTGCAAGATTCCGCAGGCTTTCCAGTAGTGAGTTGATATGGCTTTTCATATTGTAGAAGTAATTTTTTAAAGGTAGAATCTTTAGACATATAGCCCTACAAACTTTCATATGAACATGCCCTTAAACTTCAGTGTGTTAATTAGAAACCTAAGCCCTGTTACGACAGTTGTGCTGGGCTTGGTTGTCAGAATACTTTTTGTCCAATTACTTAATAAGTTGGGCACCTTATTTATGACTGTGCCATTAAGTTGACCATGGATGTGGTGTTTGTACAGTGAAAAATTACTTGGTCAGATGTTTGCATTCTCATGGGAGGTTTTATCCCATTTTGGTGTTAGCCTGGAAAAATAAAGACCGAAGCATCAGAGTTCCTACCCTACTTGAGTAAACTCACTTACTTAAAAGTTAATATTTTCTCGTTCTGCGGCATCATGACTATTAGGACTGTTGAGCATTGGATTAGGTTGCAGAGGGAAATTCTGCAGTCTCCATCCTTGGATGTTTTCAAGACCTGGCAGAATTAAAACCCTAACTAAATAAACTGGTCTGATATCATAGCTGACCCTGCTTTGAGTGGGCTTTGGGCCTCCTGAGGTCCCTTCCAAACAGAATTGTTCTGTGATTCCGGGATAAGAGCCATGGTACTGTTAGTGAAACATGCTGTGGAGATCCTGCTTCCGTGAAGGTTGCTATGTGACTAAAGAGTGGAAGAAGGGATTTTCCATTAAACAGGTGATTTTTGTCAGCAGAGCACAAACAATGCAGTGTTCTTCCAATTCTAAGGTCTCTGTGCATTAACCCATTTTTACCACTGTACAATCACAGTGCAAAAATTACTCATTATAAGTTCTGGAGAACATAGGTTGGTTTGCATTTTTCTAGTCTACTTGGCTATGTTGCTTAAATTTGATTCTGTGTTTTAAAGAGAGACTATGATTATTTTATTCTAATAGAGCATGCATTATTCTTATATTTAGGTGCTGTTACTTCATTCACTGATCCTGACAGGCCAAGAGACTACTACTCAGGTTATTCAGGTAAATGCTGTCACCCACTTACCTACAAGCTTATTTCAGCTCATTTTCAGCTTTACAAATATGGGTATCGTTTTTGCTAGTAATAGAAAACCTACCAAGTATTCTGCCTATTTGTGCACTTGCTAATAAAAAACAATTTTTCTGGCCTTGTCTTTTCCTACTTGGGGAACCATGTTGGATGTGTTTTATACAAGAATCTTTAAGCCTTAAATTAAGGGTATGACTTCGTAAAATGCTACCCTGGGCCAATACCATCCTTTTCACAGAGCCTGCAGCAAGGAGGAAATTGTCTACCAGAAGCATCCTTTTAAACATTGGTAGATCTGCCCTGATTTGGCAAACTTACCCATTCCTTTCTAGGATCTAGACCACAAAGGGAGTGTGAGCTACCTGTTTCCAGCTGGCAGTCTCGGGCTAGTTACAGATGTTTGCTGAGCTGCAGTTACTGTTCTGTTGCATTGCTCTGTTCCACGTTTGTAACAACCAAATCTTCCTTCAAAATCTTCCTTCAGTATGCCAATACAGTAGCATGTGGAAATTAAGAAATTGTATCAGAAAAAGGAATTTGATTTGCTAATGAGAATAAGAATTTGCACTTGACATTTAAACTCTGTAATCTGTTGCATCCACTCTATAAACACCAGCTGCTCAGCGTGTGGGTGGGTGTCAAAGACAACTTTTGTAGAATAGGAGCAGATTCTGTACTGCCCTTTACTTCTTTTCCAGGTCTCTCTAATCATGGAGAAGTGAAGATATTTCATGTAGTATATTTAGAATGATAAATAATGACACAGCACCAGAGAAAAAGATCTGGTACACTGATGAAAAATAAACTTGTTTTGTGTTGCGTGTCTAGGGCAGTCCCCAAAGAAACCATGGTGTTGCTTTGGGTTGGTGTGGATGAAAGGGAGATAAAGGAGCAGGGTTAACACAAATTATCCTATCTTGCATGCTTGGCTTTAGATGTAAATCATTTTTTGTAGTAAATTCAATACTCTGAATTGATTTATAATTGTAATTATAAAAGATGTATATATACACAGGGAATGAACGTATTAAATATATATCGTAATTTTCTTTCACCTATTCATAGGAGTCTTCATGGAAGGGTTAACCTTTTGCTTTTTGTATGATATAGTAATGGATTTTGCTGTCTGTGAATTAAGAAAACTTTCTAGAATTGTATGCTAATGATGCATGTGCAGTATATTCTTACCTTGATTAATTTTTCATTTTCTGGTATTGGTGATTTATTACTTTCTGACTTCAAATACCAATTAACTAAATAATAAATAGATAATAGCAGATTTTATAAACCAGTACAGAGAAACAGCTTTACAAGGAAAATGAAGATTTCAAGTGTGATTTTTAACACATTTAGCGTTTGGTGACTGAATTAAGTTTTCTCTAAATGCAGTTCATGAATAAAGTATAGGGACGCTTATTTTGATTAATAGGAACACCTTTAACACTTCAATATTACTAAATTGTTTCTCTTTGTAAAATAAAAGATTGCAGCTTTGTCAGCACTTACATCTTGATGACAATGTAAAACATCACACACAAAATTTACAATAGAGCAAACTTAATGACATCCTTTTTCATCAGATAGCACCATGATTTTTATAGTCTTCATGCACGCTGTTTTGAAGCCTCCAGAAAATAGATTTGTAGCTAAACCAATGTTCCTTCAGATAAGCATAATGCAGAGGGGAATGAGAGGAATATATAAAGATTGCATCTGGAATATGTATCTATATCAGCTAAAAGGTATCCTGCAGTTGATTTTATTTTTTTCTGCAGAACTGTCTCTTAAATATAGCCAGTATGACTGAAAGGCTTTTAAAGGTTGTTAACAATATGACTAATTCATACAGATTTGAAATTATGTATCTATCTCTTTCTAGCCAGAGGAATAGCAAATAGCTTGAGAAATGGCAGAAATTCAAGTTACAGGACGATAATACCAAGTCTTCACTGCAGTTGTATGAAAATTTCTGCCAATGTTAGTTGTTGTATGTTCCAAAAAGGAAGAATTTTTAAATGGGTAAAATTACTTTTTTGTGTGTCCATGTATAATGTGCATTTGCATCCATACACACACACGGATATAAAATTATGTATGTCCTCACTTTGTAGTGTGTGCTTGGTATTAATCACGGAAACTTCACAGGAAAGCTATACATTAAATCTATGTAACTATTGAGATATCAACATCAATAATAATCTTGTGTTAATCTGAAGATAAAAAGAATGGCATGCTGTACTTGTCACATAAATATCTTCATTATTTTTTTCATTTGGAAAATCTTGTATAAGTTTTCTATCACTTGGAGAAACTGGCCGTGTTTCTGTACTTTGATTCTTCAAAATCTACTGTCCAGATGTCTAGAAGAGAAGTTAAATATCCAAAGTTTTATATACTGACAATACGAAAGAGGAATAGAAATGACACTTCTCCCCTTAGTTTAACTCAGCAGAGATTTTCTGTGTTCAGGTTTAGGTTGTGTTAAAGGAAGAGATTCTCATTCAAGTCTCTTGCCAAGTTGTTTTCTTTTCTTTTTAATCCCAAAAGGATTTGGGTGGGTGATGGCTTGTTCATGCTTGTTTTGACAGACTTTGTAAGTGGTCAGAAATGCTTGGTGGTCATTAGCAGAGGCAGCATACAGTGGCTGTGGCATTAGATGAGATCTGCAGTGTGTTTGGGTTTTGTTAGTTTGGTTAGAGCAGACGTAGCACAAACCAATTGCATATTTCCCTACAAAAAATGCAGACTTCATCCATGCATATTCTAGTTTCAAACATTACTTGAATTTAGGATGACAGTGGTACATACTGTTTATGGCCACAAGGGTGAAACAAGACACAGGTGGAAAAAAGCCTGAAGCAAACCGGTGGTGTGGTTGCTGTTTCAGTGACATAGATAAGGTGTCCTAGTAATGACATTTAAATGTTAAAAGGAGATGATGAAAACCATCTTTCAATTTGTTTGAAATTTAAAATAATGGTAGTTCTATGTTACTTATTTATAACTGATAAAAGATGGAGGTGTTTGATGCATCTTGCTTGTTATTATTGTTCTCCTGTTACTGTAGTCTGGCTTTGCAAATTACAAAAATATATTTTGATTCATGGCATATCATAAATCCTATTTTTTTCTCTCCCAAATTAAACAAATTTGTAGAAGAAAGATAACAAAAATAATGTCTGGCTTCCTCCCCTTCTACTGAATATCATCAGTTTATTTTCCTTTTAATTTTACAGATTATTATTATAGATATCCAGAGTATCAATACACAACACCAAGGAACTACTATGATTATACGGGTGGGCTTACAGAGGAAGAACAGCTTGAAAGAGCAGTGCTAAACAGTCTTAATGAAAGAGGTAAGGCTTCTATTGTGTTTCATATATCAAATTATGATTCATATTGAGGTGGGAGGAACACAGGGAAGATGTATTGTTCATGATTTATTTCCAGTCTTTTGACATCCATTCAGAAATGGACAAAAGTTTTCTGGTAGAATTTTCAGAGAATGATGTGTGAGGATGGAGTACCATTCTTAGTGTAACTGCATTTATTAGCAGTTGCTTACTGTTTGATTTACCTGCTACTTCTGGAGTAAAAGAACTGCTTTTATAACAAACAAAACCAAAGTAAATTAAGTTACTGTGCCAAATAAACCCCTCACATTCTAAAGAGTAGTAGGGAGCAGTGTAACAGAGGAATCGATGCTGCCAATATTTAAACTTTTTTTGTATTTTTTGCTTTTTATTTGTATTTGAGGAGAAATGTACTGATGTCTTACTCCTCACATTTTCCTCTTTCACTCTAAAGAAAGTTTGTGCTGGCTAGTGGAAAGACCAGAAGAAAAAATAAAAGCAGTTTAGGAATAAATATAGTATTTGTTTTTAATTGCAAATTATTAGTTGAATTGGTATAAAATATATTAACTGGGATATACTTTATTTTTCTATAATGGAAGTAAAGTCAAGAGAAAAAAATCTTAGAACAATATATTTCTCATTCTGAAAACTTGAGCGAAAATATACTAGGCTAACAGTATATTAATGTAAATGTTAAACCTGATGCTTTAGTAGTTTTGCAACATTTTAATATTAAGTGATTATACAAAGGACATAAATTACTACATATGTTGTCTGGTATTGAGATTTTTAATATCAAATACTGCTCTTTAATCCTGTATATTGTATGTCAATATATGACTTCAACCAAAGGCTTTACGTTCTCCTTAAGTTAACAAAGCTGAAAGGTTTCTTTTAAATTTGATGAAGCTCTAACATTAAATCTTAATAAAAATAACCTTTTCAGGCAATTCCTAAATATCGCAAGTCAGGCAGGCGGGGCAGGAGGCCGTCGTGGCTGACCAGGAACATTCTTATGGAGATTAGGCGGAAACAGAGAGTGTTTCGCTACTGGAAGGAGGGCCAGGTGACATGGAAAGAATACAGGGATGCTGCTCGTGTCTGTAGGAAGAAAATTCATGTGGCTAAAGCACACCTAGAGTTGAAGCTGGCTGTGTCTGTGAGAGAAAATAAAAAGGGTTTTTTTAGATATGTGAATGGAAAAAGGAGAACTAAAGAATACATAGGGCCGCTCCTTGACAGGGAAGGTCTCCTCACAGACGATGACATAGGCAAAGCAGAGACGCTTAACGCCTTCTTTGCCTCTGTCTTCAATGCCGATGATGGGCTTCGGGACCCAGGGTGCCCCGAGCTGGAGGACCGGGACGGTGGGGATGACAAACTCCCAACCGACCCTGAACGTGTGCGGGATCTGCTACTCCACCTGGATCCCTACAAGTCCATGGGTCCGGATGGGATTCATCCCCGGGTGCTGAAGGAGCTGGCGGACGTCATCGCGGAACCTCTCTCAATTATTTTTCAACGATCCTGGGAGTCTGGAGAGGTCCCGGTAGACTGGAAGCTGGCAAATGTTGTGCCGATTTTCAAGAAGGGTCAGAAAGAAGACCCTAGCAATTACAGGCCTGTCAGTCTCACATCAGTGCCTGGTAAAATCATGGAGAAGATGGTTCTCGAACGTATTGAGGCGCACCTGGGGGACAAAGCAGTCATTGGTCCCAGCCAGCATGGGTTTGTGAAGGGTAGGTCCTGCCTAACTAACCTGATTTCCTTTTATGATAAGATCACCCGTATGGTAGACCAAGGGAAACCAGCTGATGTGATTTTTTTGGACTTCAGCAAGGCTTTTGACACGGTTTCCCATAGGATCCTGCTGGACAAAATGTCCAGCATACAGCTAAATAAAAACATCATACGATGGGTGAGCAATTGGCTAACGGGCAGGGCCCAAAGGGTTATGGTGAATGGGGCTGCGTCAGGCTGGCGGGCGGTCACCAGTGGGGTCCCTCACGGCTCCATTTTAGGGCCGGTACTTTTCAATATTTTTATAAACGATCTGGATGTAGGAATAGAAGGCATTTTGAGCAAGTTTGCTGATGACACCAAACTTGGAGGAGTTGTGGACTCGAATGAGGGTGGAAAGGCCTTGCAGAGGGATCTGGATAGGTTGGAGAGCTGGGCGATCGCCAACCGCATGAAGTTCAATAAGAGCAAGTGCCGGGTCCTGCACCTGGGACGGGGAAACCCTGGCTGCACGTACAGACTGGGCGATGAGACGCTGGAGAGCAGCGTAGAAGAGAGGGATCTGGGGGTCGTGGTAGACAACAAGTTGAATATGAGCCAGCAGTGTGCCCTGACAGCCAGGAGGGCCAACCGTGTCCTGGGGTGCATCAAGCACGGCATCGCTAGTAGGTCGAGGGAGGTGATTGTCCCGCTCTACTCTGCGCTGGTGCGGCCTCACCTCGAGTACTGTGTGCAGTTCTGGGCACCACAGTATAAAAAGGACATGAAACTGTTGGAGAGTGTCCAGAGGAGGGCTACGAAGATGGTGAAAGGCCTGGAGGGGAAGACGTACGAGGAACGGCTGAGGGCACTGGGCCTGTTCAGCCTGGAGAAGAGGAGGCTGAGGGGAGACCTCATCGCAGTCTACAACTTCCTCGTAAGGGGGTGTCGAGAGGCAGGAGACCTTTTCTCCATTAACACCAGCGACAGGACCCGCGGGAACGGGGTTAAGCTGAAGCAGGGGAAGTTTAGGCTTGACATCAGGAGGGGGTTCTTCACAGAGAGAGTGGTTGCACACTGGAACAGGCTCCCCAGGGAAGTGGTCACTGCACCGAGCCTGACTGAATTTAAGAAGAGATTGGACTGTGCACTTAGTCACATGGTCTGAACTTGGGTAGACCTGTGCGCTGTCAAGAGTTGGACTTGATGATCCTTAAGGGTCCCTTCCAACTCAGGATATTCTATGATTCTATAACCTGACTGCCACTTATCAATGTAATTTTTCTTCTTTTGTTCATAGTCTTGTTATTCTAACTTCCTGGGTACAAGGAAGTCTTAATTAGGAAAAAGATAACAGAAACTCATACTTGTCGCTGCAACTGTTAAAACACGATGCACTATTCATTAATCTTTGCTCGGAAAAATAACTTACATCACTGGTTTATGGCTGTTAGAAATATCAGGCAAAATATGAAAGTAAATATCTTGACACGTCGTCATCACTTTCTTTCACACCGTCTGTGATCATATATATTATGAAGGATGTTGTGTTATCTGGAAGATAATTTTAAAAAGGCAGCAGATGAGGCAATGTTGTGTATGAAAAGGTTTCTTCAGTTTGAAAAATTGATTAACGTGTTTTTTAATGTAAATACAGCTTTTTGCTTTACATCTATTGTGAGAAGTCACTTTTGAGGCTGAAGTGCAGTTTTTTGGGAAAACTAGTTTTTAAAGTGTTTTTTGTAGTTGTGTTACATACTTAGGTTTCTAACTGTCCATAAATATTGTGAAACTATAAACTTAAAAACAAAAACCAAACAAAAAAAACTGTTTTTCAAACAAAAAAACTATTTTCTGCAGCAAAATTAATAGTGTAAGAAGTTTTAGAAATGATGATAATCTGAGCAGTTCCTTTTAAATCAAACTTTTCCGAAAAACTTAGAAGCTGGTGAGGGTCTTAGCTTTCAAGCAAATTAATAATGTATGAGTCTGTCTGGTCTGCTGGCAAAAGTTGGCAAATCAGATATTGTTCATGCTGTTTTAGACGTTTTAAAACAAAACGAAAACCAACAAAACCACCACAACAGGTAATATCAATATTTTGTCCTATATACATTTGTCCTAAATAAGGTTTTGGGAAGGACTGGGTCTAAAGTGAGCTTTAATGGAAGGGACATTTTTTACTGACATTTTTACTTGATGTTTTACATTATTTTTTACAGATTGATTTTGAGAAAAATCTTTCAAAGCTTTTAAGTGTTTTGGGATGTGTTGTCTTGCAAGAGCATGAACCTTGTTTGTATCTGTTTGTTTGTGTTTTTATACTATGAACACAGTAAAACTGTGTTTTTTTTTTTTGTTTACTTGTTTTTCAAAACACTCTGTATAAGATTCCTGCTCTTGTGAGCTTTGTCTGTAACAGCTGAGTGCCGATGGCTTTTAAGTCATTGGAGCTTAGGCATCTAATGGATGCCTCATGTCTTTGGATGAATGATGATTTTAGGTGTAGTTTTAAAGCCATTTGATATTCTTTTGAGGCCTTAAGTCACACTGCAGAAGGAAAAAACATAAATTATTACTCAAATCTCAAGACATCTTTGACAAAGATGTCAAATTCTTAGCTCTCTATAGAAAATATGTGCATGTAGGAGTTGGTATTACAATAAAAGAAAATGCTTTTATTTTCAATGTCATAAAATGAAGTCAGTTTGTAATAACAATGACAAGATTATGATAATAAAACTGGACAGCATACATTTTAGTCTGTCATCCATCAGTATGGAACACCTGCAGCTTTCTGTCTGTAGCCTTAAATAACCTACATCACTATAGGTAAGTGTTTGTTTCTGTTTGCTTTTTGAAGTACTGTGCTGTATTTGGACAAAGATAGAATACATTTCCTCTTATGTTGAAAATCTTACTTGGAGAATGCCCTTTGAAACCCGAGAAAGAGTTCAAATAGCCTCTCTAGCTAAGTATGTCTCGCTAGCAGATAACTGGCATACCAAGTCACATTTTTAACTTCGGTTTGAGACAACAGCATTTCTTATGTCTATGCTCGTGTCTGTTTTCAGTGCTAGTTAAAGTTGTTAAACCTCATGGATAAGCGAAGTGGGAAATATATTGTCGTTTCCAATATAGTTTGGTGCAATTAAATTTATATAGGTGGTATTTTTATTATGGTTTCACAGCAGCGCTTTAATTTTGCGGCTTTTCCTGTTTGTCACAGTACTTTAGTTTGGAAAAGTAAGACTTCAGAGCTCAACTTTGAAAAATATTTC